CCTGATATATCCTCAGGTTTCAGACGCTCCAATTCACTAATTTTTAAAGCTAATTCAACTATCTTAGACTTGAGAGAATCGATTTCGGACCCTTTCTTTGATGAGTCTTTTTGAGATAAATCTAGCTTATCTTTCAATAATTTTATCCCATTCTGAAGCAATTTAATCTTCTCTGATTTTGTAGCGTGTTTAGCCTTGGATTCCGCAAGAGATATATCTTTGCGAGCATTTTCAATCTGTAGATATCTGTTCTCTTTAATAAGTTCGAGATCATGAGTACGTAATTTCTGGATCTCGGTATTAGCCCCTCCTAGTTTTTTACTTCACTTCTTTCTATCCTGATCCCATTGTCCTCTCTCCTGATTGATTTTTTTTTCTTGTTTTTCATACTTATTCCGCAATTTAGCATTGTATGAAACTATCTCAAAAGAATCTTGGAGGGCATTATATAATTCTTTTTAAGGTTTATTACATTGACCATATTAAATAAAGAAAAATATTATGAAAAATAGCAAAATATGAAACACATATATACTTATCGATAATGCTATCAAAGAAATTACGCTCCAATATAATTCAACAATAATAGATAATTACTGATTTTTTTAGAAAATTATTGAATATTAAGTATGTAATTATCTATAATTACCGGTCATTTTTTAACATAAGAGATATAGATGTGTTTTAGCATTTCCAATAATTTCCAATAATTTTTGATAATTTTTGATAATTTTTTATAATTATAAAAAGAATGGAACATATAACTGTAGAATATTATCGTGCTGGTACTCCTTATTTATCACCAGAAGCTATTGAGGAAATCATTCAATCTCGAGGGACAGTTAAAAATGCATGCAGGGAAATGGCTAATAGATATAGTACTTCAACTCGTAGAATATATGAAATTTGGAAAAGACATGCTGAAGGTATACCCTTGCGCAAACAGCAACTAATACATAGTGTTGTTTCTTCTGAAATAATGTCTGAAAATAATACTTCGTATAGAAAGTCAAAGAAAAGAAAACCAGGATCCAGCTCTAGATCTGTTCAAGTATCTGATTCAGTCAATATTATTAGGACGGAGGCTAGCTTTTCAGCTAATAAAGTTGATATAACTGATATTCCGATAAAAAAAGTAGATGAAATGAATGACTTACAAGTTAAGCTTGCACAAAATCGTAAAGAAAGGGAAGAAGCTAAACGTGAGACGAAAAGGATCTTAGATTCCAACTAATCTATTTTTGTTTTTTCTAAAGTAGTTTGCAATCTATTGCAGAGCAATGGCTCTTCGAGCCTACATACTGTTTCAATATCAGATTTGTTATAAGCCCGTAGTTTTTTATTAAGCTCGATTAATTCAGTATTGGATTCGAGTACCTTATATAGCAATTTTTCTAACTCCTCATAACTCATGCGTTTTTTTTAGTATCAAAGGTACTTGCTCTGCTAACGACGGATCATTAGAATCTGGACTAAAGTCCGTAGAAGCATGCCATTCCTCCAATGTTATATTGTCATCCTTATTACTATCTATCTCTTGAAAAATTTGATCGGATATCAATGACTTATTATTCTGAGATGCAGTAGCGCAATTTACTTCAAGTTTATTCTTGACTTTGTGCATGTTTATTGGAATAAAATACTCTTTACCATTACATACGAGCTTTAATTCTCATTTTGACGCGAGCAAATCATAATCATATTTATCTAGGAGAGTATTTGGCAAAATTAGCATGGGTTTGGGATATTTGACTACTGCAAAATCGGAACATATAGTACAACCTGGAATAAAGTCTACTGCTACATTTCGAGTAGTTCCAAGAGATTCTGTAGGAATAGTAGCAATACCTCTAAGATCATGTTTTTCTTTCGTATCAATTATCAACTTTAATCGTTTAGCTATATCTTCAGACATAATTGGAAAATTTGCATCAGGATCTACTGTGGCCGCCGGGATTATTAATCGTTTGATCTTGCATTTTGTAGTTACAACATCTGTAACCAGATCTTTTCTCTGAACAAAATCAATTTCCATAGGATCATCCAATGTCTCTTCGTCTTCTGAATCAGGTATTGCTGGGATCGGATCTCAGTGATTCGTGAAATCTGGAATGAATAAATATTTATCTTCAGATTTAAGTTTCTCCAACTGGTGCGGAAGTAAGACCTTTTCGAGCATTTCTAATAAAATTTGACGAATATTCTGTTTAAGGGTAATTGATTTATTGGAAGTAGATATGTCTTTTTTCATTTTGCGTGATTTGAACTTCTTAGAAGATGATTTATTCGAATTGTTCTTATTGAAAGGTGACTTATTTTTTGAACTATTCTTTACTTTTTTTTTAAATGCGTGATATTGACATTGATATCAGCTTCAGATTCAGATGAGGTTTCCTCAAAATCGGAGTTATTATCTGAAGAATCGTTATTAGAAGAGTCTGTATCTGAACTAGAGTCAGAATCCACAACAACATTATTGATATTACCACTATTTTTGGATCTATTCTTAGACCTTTTCTTACGAGTACACTTGCGAGAATTATGTCCGGTCCTATTGCAGTTTGAGCACCTGTGCTGGGACGATCTCTTAATCTCCTTCTTGACCTGTCTAGATATAGCCTTATTTATTGACAACTTACTTATACGATTAGCCAGTTCTTTATCTGAGTCGACTTCGACATTTTTTGATGCATTCTCTCCATTTTTCTTAGGCAAGAAGGAAGAAAATTTATCAACGATTCCTTTAGTAATTGTATCTATTAATGATTGTAAAGTAGATGGACCTGCTAGAGCACTAAGACGATCTGTTGCTTCATCCATTCGAAGCCATTCTTGGTCATTCAAGCGTAAATTAGAATCCCTATACATTTTACCTGGCTCCATTTGACTGGGTCGTACCAACTGTCTATTTTGCAATTGAGAAGCTGTCTGCGAAGAAACAGGTTGAGATTGTGAAGATGCCATAATACCTTTCACCAAATTTTCGATTTCTTCTTTGGTCATACTTGTATTGTTTG